CAGGGACACAGCAACGGGGAGAGAAATGCCGCCAAGAAATCTGCCCCGACCATCAGCACTGAAAATTACAGCTCAAACACAACACAGGGTTTCGCTCACTGAGCTCATGGGGCCGTGAGAGCCCAAAGAGCCCCAGGAATGGGGCTCCACAGGACTCCTGCCACCTGCCTGGCAGGGACAGAGATGGGCATGGGGACAGGGCCACACTGTGGCAAGAGACACAGAGCCAGAGGATTTGTCCAAGCCCAGAACTGTGGCACAAACTGCAGCATTACCAAATGCTACCAGAGCCGTGGGCTCACGCCCTGCGTGCATGGTTTGTGGTCAGGTGAGCAGATGCTCATCGCAAAGGTTAATTCTGGGTGACAGAAACTGACAGCAACGTTACCAGGAAAGACTCATCCAGAGAGACTCATCCCAGGAAGACTCATCCAGAAAGACTCATCCCACCTCCCCCAGGGGCGGCCGCATCATCTGGGGCGCAGGAAGAGCAGGGGCGGGAGGACGCCCCGGGTGCATCCTGTCTCTCCCACGCCGCCTGTCCCCAGGTGCCACAGCTCCCCCAGCCCTCCTGTGGGCAAGGGGCACCCAGCCCCAGGGCCGCGCACAGCTCAAACACCCCTGTCCCCTCCTTAGGAAGCCTCTGGCACAGCCCTCAGAGCCAGCTGCAGCTCACATCTGCCCAGGCCCTCAGCAGAGCAGCAGCGGTGCCTCAGCGAGGACCTTCACGCTGTGCCACTGCAATGCCCGAGCTGGAGCATCATCCTGGAGGGACACAGCCTCTGGGTGAAGGCCACCTGAGCCACGGCCAAGCCAGGGACCCCACGGTCACAATCCTGCAGCCTGCCCGCCGAGGGCACTGCAGGAATCACAGCAGGATCACGCTCTGGACAACTGGAGCCCTGGGAGCTTGGCTGTGAGCAGCCCTTGCATGGCTGGGAACACAGTGTTCTGCTCAATGAGCTCCAATTCTAATTTGGTTCTCCTTGGAGCACTGGAGCCTTAGATGCCAAATGTAATTATTTGACAAGACACAGGAAACAGCAGCATTTGCTTAAAAATGCACACGAAGCCACGGAGTCACGGCAGAGCCAGCACCTACACAGCCCCTCACGGGGACAGAGAAGGGACACTGGCACAGAGCAGGCCTAAGCACACTCCCCGTGGGCAGTGGGGCTGTGACATGACAGCCCGTGCCTGACAGCCTTCATCCTCAGCATCCTCAGAGGAATGCAGAGCATCCGTGTGACCTGAGCAGAGCATCTCACTGCCCTTCCCTCTGCCTCGGCTCCAGGGACCACACGCCTCAGGACGGGGTTTCTGCTTCGCTTAAAAAAAAACCCCACACATTTAATCTGCCTCAAATAATAAATAAAATTTTCAAAACCCATCCAGAGGATCAGGTTTAGCCCGTGCCACGCACCAGGTCCCACCGGCTGCAGTCAGCAAGGTGCCAGCCAGGATGC